AAGGGGGAGGGGGAAGCTTAATGCGCTTCAGACATCGGTTTTCAATATTTCACTAGGCGAGACACATCCCGAAGAGAAATCAAGCAAGATGTAGACACTGTCAAGTTCGATTCTAAGTTGTAAAAATTTATGAGAGAACCTACAGGAGTTTTTATTCGAAGTGCAATGCCTTTAAGGTTAGTTAATCCAGTACCGATACCCCTTTGGGTTCTCGATAAACGCTTCTTTTAGCAAGCGGAAGGATGTTTGGAGAAACCTTATCGGAGGATAAATTCGTAAGCGTTGTCGATAACTGACAGTAATGTTCTTCCATTCTGAAAAAAAAATACCAGACGGTTAGAGCTTTCTAAATTACGGATGTTTTTTACAGCGTACTTTGACGAACTTTATCTGACGTCGTGAGTTTCACCTTTTTTTAATCTTTTATTTTTATTTACTTTATTTTCCACAGTTGCAAAAGTAATGGTCTAAGTATTTATCGCCGCTGTATTTGACTACAACATGCTGAAGTCTTCATTCTTTTTTTATCTTGTCTTGCAACTATAGCTTCGCTATAGTTCGAGCCCGGTTAAGCTTTTAGTAGCGCTTTTAAACGCGCTCCACATTGAAGAAATGTATAACTTTGTCCGGGGCACATCTCTATCAATGCTCAATATGGTTCCTGCAGACTTTATGATTGTTATATTATTAGATGATCCATCCATCTCTGCGATTGAAAATTTAGATGAGCTATAGTTAGGTAGGTATTTTGTAAACGCTGATTTTATTTAAAGATATCACCATTCTACATACAATATGAATCATGGGCGCACAAACGATAATTAAAATTGCTTCCGACACATTTGCGTTTATGGTATAAGTGACTCGTTCTTGAATAAACGTACTCATCTATTCTGTTAACTTCTATAACAGCACTGCCTCAGTAAACAAGTGTAACTCACAGCGAGACAGGAGTGAATCTACCTATGTCTTGTTATTAGATAGAGTACAGTCTGGAGGATAAAAGACCATATAAAAGTGAGATTTAACTTTAGTATAAATGGGATCCTAGAGGATTTTTTCGAATAGTACAATGGACATGTAAATCACTCATATATAAATTAATAGATGATAAAAATCTGTTGTTTTAAACAAATTTCAAGTAGAAGATGAATTTTAAAAAGAAATGAAGGAAATATTTGTTTTTACGTAACTTTTTCATGTCGTTTAAAAGCTTTTAGTTTTGTGCTCATATTAAATAAGAAAATTGTTAATCACTATTCAGAATTTTAGATTCAAATCTTTTTTTTCATCGAAATATTTCGTTTTTATGAAAAACTGCTGTTTTAAATAAACAGAGAGTAAAAAAGCACGGTTCATTTTTGAATCAATTAAAGACGTCAAATTTCTTTCCTATTCTCAAGTTAAATATCACTTTTTTGAGTTTTCTTACCTTGAGACTACGTTCTATATAATAACAGGCAAGTCAAGTTTTCAGCATATTTTGATAAATAAATTTATTAGAATTATTTAAATTTAAACTTGTGGGTTCACTGGATGACTTGCCGCATGGATTAAATATGATCAAAACATGACCTTGCCATTCACTCGATTGAATATAAATCGAACTGTATCAGTAAACTGAACTGTTGTTAAACTTTGTTACAATGATTTTAATATTAATTAATATATAATTTTTGTATCATTTTACTGCATTAATAAATGCCCAAAGCCACTAACTAACATCTCTGTCACGAATTCTATAAGTATGAATAGAAGTTAATGGTAAGCATTAACATAGGTTCATGAATGAGAAACCTTAGGCGCTCAAATCGTCTTTGTCGACCATGCATATAAATTCAAATATTTTAACGTGACGACGAGTATCCGTCATTTCTTATCATTTAGTCATTTCGTGCAGCTCGGGAACATCCCCGTCCAGCCACTTCCTTGTTCTTCTTTTCCACTTTAGCGCTGATTACTACAACAACTAAGAGAGTTTATTCAACTGTAATGAACTTCAATGATCATCATGAACCCACAGCAATCAGTATTAACAAAAAAACACTCTTCACACAAGGACACCGACATTTATTTAGCTACAAAGCGCCCATGTGCGCCGTAGTTTCAACCATAATCATCTGCTCTGTTGATTCAAGTCACAGACCAGAGGTTGCATACACTATGCCATAATCGATCAAGTGTACAGTCGCACATCACATATACCCTATACAACGTAGTTTTTTCATGTATATACTTTTTGTATTGTTTTAGTGTATGAATAAATGCCTAAAGCCTATTGTACATTTTGTACATCTCGTAGAAATTGAGAATATATCTGATCTGTTTGTTTCGTATTTTTATAAATTATATCACGATACAAACATTTTCTTCTCAAAATTGAATTGCAACGCTTAATACATACCATTGAAACAACACTTGAAACTTTTGTAAAATAGTTTTCTTTTCTTTCATCTCTTTGTTTGAATTCTTGTATGTGTAAATGTTTTTAGTTACTGTTCGTTTTTGATTATTAAATATTACATTTATAACAAGAGTCGTATCTTCTATGAAACGCTCATTCAAAACAAAATTAAAATTTCTGTTCAACTTAACTTTAAATTACTCATTTACTGAATTCTGTTCTACTGTAGAAGATGAAGATTAAATAATCAAATCTGGTTCAATAATTGTTTCCAATTCTAAATTTTCATGAGTACTTTCGTCATCCAGTTTTTTGAGTATTAATTTCATCGTAATACGTGAAAATTTCGTTCCATATGCTCCTGCCCAAAACTGACGATCTTTGCCTCTTATTATAATATTGACATACGAAGGAAATAATTCATAGGTTTGATATTTATAGACAACTTTTGTCCAATGTCTATCGTTCCACTGTGGAAATGTTTTTTCATAATTCCATTTATGTTTCAGTTCTGCATTTTCATCATAAAATTCTAATTGAACACAACCTTGACTTGCACAATCAAATCTAGCGGCAATATAAACAGTAAATTCAATTGTTGGTCTCAATTTTTCATACAATTGTCGATGTTGACAGAACTCAACTTTTTGCTCGATTCTACCCCAATAATAAGAGGTGACAAAACATGAACAAGATCGATTAAATTCATCTAATAAATCATCACTACCACCCGGTTGTTGTTCAACATCAACTGACTGTGATGCACGATAGTTAAATGAATTTGTTCCTTCGTCACCTATAGACCAATGTTGTAATCCTAAATCAAACTGTAACATATCTAAACACAGTATTTAAACATAATAATGATTACCTAGTTGTCCACATGGATTCTTTACAAAATTGTGTCCATAATGAAACGGATTAAACTTATATAATTCAATAAATTGTACATTATTTTTTATTAAAATATTAAGATCTTGTTTTGATGATATTAAATGATCATTTAAACATTTTTGTAACCAAAATAAATTAGAATTAATGATTGAATGAAAACGTTTACATACAAGCATCACATTTAGCAAATATTTCAAAGTTTGTTGTAGAAATGGTTTTTGAATTTCATAATCATAATAATATGATGTTTTAATCGTATCATATTGACATAATACATAATTATTTGACGTAGATTCGAGTTTATGGCCAATTTTGATCAGAATATTTTGAACTAATTCATCAGGAAGTTCATTAAAATGATTAATACTTGAAGTTGTATCAGATCTTGCTTCCATTATACGTTCTAAATTATGATCTAGAATTTATGATAAAAATTATTATCGGGTGCGGTAGTGAAAATGAGCCTCGCAGTATTTTTAGGATCGTAAGGTTAATGTTTTTTTTAAAAGATGTGTCGCTAAATACTCTACAGAATCATACCTAAACTTTAATTTCAGAACTTAAAGCAAGAAAACTACGCAAATTAGACGAAAAGCGAAAAAACTTTCTAAATTTAAAAACGATTTTCTGTGTTAACGACTTGAAAGTTAGGAAAATTGAATTAATCATTTTATGGCCTTGATTTAGCTCTATCTTTTAGCTACACTTCAAAATTTTTCACATCAGAACCCATGGAGAAATAATCATTTTTTTGTCGGTTGTTACGTATTTTTTCATTCATTTTTTCAATTCTGCTTATGGTGCTTTCAGTAAAAGTTCCATAAGATCATCAAAACAAAAGATTTTTCAATCGGGTTTGTCTTGTTCTGAAATGTTCTTCTGTACCCAACTGCAAAATCAAAACTTTGATAGTATTTTCCGTTTCTTGCTTGGATACATTTGTTGGAAACGAGAGGTTATCAATTTTTGACATATTTTTGAAACTTCATTCTCAAGCACACCATCTGCTCCAAAAGAATTTGTTTATAGACCACGAGAAAGAGCACATTTGAAACTACAAAACAAACTGAGTTCTCACTTTTGCTACACTTTTTCACGGAAATAATAGCAGAAGAAGTTCAAGTCAAAAACACTACCAAAGTTACAAAGTTTTAATTTTTTTCGTCTTTCGTCTAATTTGCGTAGTTTTCTTGATTGAAATCCTGGAATTAAAATTTAGGTATGATTTTGTAGAGTATTTCGCAGCGCATCTTTTAAAAAGACTATTAACCTTAGAGTCCTAAAGAAACACAAGAAAAATAGAAAATATTGAGAGGCTCATTTTCTCTACCACACTCGATAATATTTCTAAAATGATTTTCTAGTGAATGTATGTGTGTATTTATTGTAGCACTTCGTTTCATTGGTTCGTAGAAATTCTCGCCTGCTCTCATAAGAACTAGTCAATTTGATAATCATTCTGTCCAAAAATTTTTGACATTAAAAAAATATTTTACTTTGTTCAATCATATTTTATGTCATGTATATGTGCCAAAATGTAGACAACAAATAACAAATTACAAATTGATAAGAAAAAACAGTCAACAAAAATTAGTAATGTTTAACAAAATTAACATTGCACGCAAGAACTACTATAAATAGTTATAATCAAAAAATAAACACCACTTTATGTAGACAAAAAGACGAAGAACAAGAGATGTAGTAGAAAAGTTTTGTATAAAAATAAATTGAGCATAGGCGAAAAATAAAATAGAAAGTATTGATAATCTATTGTACACGGTCATATCGTCGTGATAAATGATATCTGGCTCGAATTTTACCGAAAACTTCACGACATTCACGAATAAATAATGGCAAAATACATAAACACGTAACAAGTGTCTAAAAAACATCAAGAAAAATGATTAGTATTTAATGATGGACGAAATATTTCAGTTTTTTTTAAATGGATAATGATTTCAATGATTTACCAATTCATACCATAGTATTTTTAAAATGCATCACTTTTTATTTTGTTTAGAATTCGATGTTTCGTAAAAACATTTTTCATTTTTAAGTTTCAATACACAAATATACACGAGCATAGAATATGACTGACTATAGATTTGTTATTACATGAATAAAAACACAGATATAAAAGTGTACTATTTTCACACAAACATGATATAAAATCAGATAAAAAACAACTCGACAGGGTGATTAATCATCGTATGTCGGAAAAAACAAGACTCTTTTATATCTCAGTTTAATAAAAAGTTATGAATTTTATAACTGATGTGATTAAAGTTTATAAATTATTGATTCGAACAAGAGCAAACTTCTCATCAGTTATCTAGTGGCTTCAAGAAATAGATACAGTAAAACCTCTGTTAGTGAACACCTCGTAATACGTGAAAATTTCGTTCCATATGCTCCTGCCCAAAACTGACGATCTTTGCCTCTTATTATAATATTGACATACGAAGGAAATAACACCTCGCTTATTGTTTCGGATTTCTTCGGCATATACAAAAATGTCTCATTTCCGTGATATTGAACGAATATAAATAATAATTTATACTATAATAAGATATGAAAGTAGATCAAGAAAAGATGATAACTCGGATGAGACAGAAAAGAAAAAGACAAACAACAATAGAAGATTTTTTTGTACAAAAAACAATCCGATTGTATTTGAAGATTTTTTCAACTAAAAGATATTTAAATAAAAAGAGATGAACAAGAGAATGAATAGCTCTTATTTCACTCAGGACTAGTGTAGAAGCAGACATTCTGGAATTTTTTCTTTATTTTGCAGCAAAACATGCGTCACCTCTCTAAAGTGAACACCTTCCATAGTGAACACTTTTTGGGCGGTCCCAATGGTGTTCACAATAGAGAGGTTTTACTGTAATGGAAAAAGGACTAGCTATATCAACATCACACCTGTGTTGTAAACGACGAATAGAATAAGATAATTTAAACGCTCAACTGTTTTTACTGATGTATGTTTTCTACACTTACCATAATAATAAAAAAGTAGAATACATATTGCCAATTAAACTTCTTCATAATAACTGGTATTAATATTTGACCGATAGCAGCACCATAGCTGCCTGTACCATCAACAATGCCTGTTACAGTCGATAAGGCTTCGTGACTATGACGAAGAATTTCTTGACGACCTAAAGTAACGGACAAAAAACACTATAATCATTATTGTTATAAAAAGATAGAAAGAAAGCAAAAAGTTAGTACAATGATGAGAAGAAGGAGACCGATCTATTGTATTTTTTACATCACTGACAAAGAGACTAAAGACAAACAAAAAAAGAAATAGACAAAAATGTGACTAAACATACGAGAAGGAAAGAATACAGATTTAAAAACGCTGTGTGCTGTCAATTTAGGTTATTACAATATTATGAAGTTTACAAATTTCGTGTGCATTTAAGGGAATTAAAGATTTTAGAAGAATGTGTTGTAGAGTATAAGAGCTGCCGTTTGTTAGAGTAATCCAGTCATTTTCGAAGATAGTTCTGCTTTGCTGGTAATTTCGACAATCCAAAAAGAAATGCCTTACTGTCGCATTTTCACCACACTCACACAACGGACTACTTACTAAGTTCTTTTTGAAAAGATCATAATTTAACTGAGAAAAATCGCTCATTATTATATTATGGATTAATAACATCATTTTAAACAAAAATCACTTGCCTAAATCAGTTGTTATAGCAGCTGATATCATATTAGCTACTCCACCAATAAATACTCCCGCAATTGTCATCAAAACTCCATTCACAGCTTTATGGTTTCCCAAATCTAAAAGATCGTAAAACAAACGTATGCAAAAAAAGGCACAATAGAATAAAATAAGTTCTTACTGCTGAAAATAAACAGCGTAGGAACGGCTAATAATAATTGAGGTACAACAACAATAGAACGAAAACCGATTTTATCCTAAGCAAAGAAAAGTTTATTAGCATAAAAAGGAACTATCCTATACATTTCATGTTATTTACCGATATTAATCCACCTATAATTCCGCCAAAAATTCCTCCTACATCGTATAATGTTGATAGTAAATCAGCAGCTGATTCTTCCCAGTGAAATTTATTATGTAAATAATATGGTAACCAAAAGAAAAAGGAATAATTAACTAATTTTAAACAGGCATAACATAATGAATACTAAATTTAAAAAGAAAGTTAACGTCAAAAAGTTAAATTAAAAGCGTAAGACTATATACCATAAGAACACCAGGTAATAACCAAGCTCGAAAAAATGTAATAGGTTTTACATCTTTTACATTTTTAACAATCATAGCGGCAGTTTCGTCATTCGTGTCGATTTCATTTTCTGTTACTACTTCCGATTGATTAAGGACATCTAGACAATATTAATATGACTGAATATATATCGAGGAAAAGTATAGTGAAATCTAGTGAGATATGTGCGCTTAAACTTCTGCAAACAAATTAGAACTATTTTTCGATAACAGTGCACTAATTGTGCTAACAGAATCCTAATATATGTTTTTTATGACTATTTTCTACGAGTATATTATGATCAATATGATGGAAGAAATGATACCTTCGACAGATACTGCACTATCATCAACGTTGATACCTGAAAGAAAAACAAATCTTCTTGAATATAAATTACGAAACCTACTTATATTAACATTTACCAATTTGAGCAGGAGATGTAACTAATCCAAAGAGATTAATTATACTACAACAAAATAGTAGTATACCAACAACTAAGAAGGGATACTATAAAGAAAACAAAAAGTGAAACTATAGAAATAAATAATACCCAACGATTACCTCATAACCGTATCTCAGAAAAGCTGCTGCCAAAGCAGCTCCAAAGATATTTCCAACCGATGCACATGCACTCCAAACACCAAATATTAGACCACGGCTATTGAAATATAAACAGCATTCATAAAAATGAATACAAAAAAAGATCAAAAAAAAATAAATAAGTATACCTTTCTGTACCAAACCAATTTCCCATAATTGCAATAACACACGGCCATGCCTAAATGAAAATTAAAAATTTTATTAAAGAAATATGTTTTAAATAAATGTTTACTTACAGTTGACTGTGCAAGTCCATTTAATATCCAAAAAACCACATACCAAGCTATAGAATAGAGATGTAACCATTCACTAACAACACCAAACATTACGATCTGAATAGAAAAAAGAACACCATGTATGCATATAAAAAATTTAAAAATAACATTATTCAGTTTGGGTTAGAGAATGGGAAAAGAAACAATGTGACATTAGTTAAGTAACAATAATTAAAAAGTCATATAAACTTCACATACGAAAACTGCTGTTAAGCACATTCCTGACGATAATATAATCCTTAGATCAAATCTAAAAACATATTTCAATCAATAGAAGATAAAGGTGCTTTTTTTTCTTCTCTTACCGATCGCCGATAATGCCGCTGATAAAAAGTCCCTGATAAAGAAGAAAAAGAAGAAACAATTTATGATAGCAAATAGAGCCAGGTATATTACTGTTGCATATGCAAACATGAATACAGCATCTAATACTCCAAGAAATACTGTTGCATCACTTGGTGAATGAAATAAACGAGATTGATTCCAGAGCTAAAAGGAACAATAAAGTAGAATTAATCAAATAAAAGACAATATTATTCTTACATTATCTGGTTTAAGTGGATGTTGAGTATAGTTAGCATTTGGACTCCATTCTTCAGCTATTGATGCTTTCACATTACTAAATATTTTTCGGGCAGCATGAAGGACAGCGTAACTAAATATAAAAGTAGATTTAGAAAAGGTGAATGTAAGAATGGCCAGTCTATATCTAACCTGAAAAATGTAAGACAAAATACAGTCACATGGTATCGTGTATATTTAGACTTCTTACGCATAACGCGTACGTTCAATTCTCCATTCTCCATCTGAAAGATTCAATTTCTATTTACAAAATAATAAATTTAAGTCAAAAGTAATTAGAATAATCGATTTCGAAATGTTTTTAACGATATTATTTGATAAAAAGAGAAATATCTCCTGTCCATATGCTTCACTTCGATATACCTTGACAAAAAAATATATTTTTGAATCTTATGTCAGTTGATTAACTGAAACGAAATGAATTTTATTGTTTTTTGACACACTTTCTCTCTTACGATTCAATCAGTCGTCCTCCAGTAAACCTTAATGTAGAGATTTAGACAAAAAATCGTTTGTTTCTTTAACAGTTCTAGATGAAATATTTTATATTGAAGCTATATAAGAACATGCATCTTTTTTCAATAGCCTAAAAATGACAGTAAAAAGCTGAGTCCCGATATTCCAAGAATGCCGTCAGCATATAGAGATATGTATATTTTTGTATAAGTTCTAGTGAATTATAAATAGAATTTATTATGATCACATATGAGACTTTGAATACAATATAAAGGATGCATTTAATATAGAAAAATAGAAATTGATACAAGTAGAGACCGTTTTCGCCTTTGACATGGAAATGCGTTAAAAAGCTTCATTTTAGAACGTCTGAACTTAGTTATAAAATTCACTCTTACATCTTTTGAGTGTTATATGAAAACAGCGTTCTTGAAACAATTATCCAATGGCACTAATTGTCGCAGTATATGAGTAAATTTCGACAATTTTTGAATTTTTTCTCAAGCGTCCGAACTTGACATCTAGGTTTGACATCTATGTGGTTTAATTATCGCGTAATTAGTCCAGAAAATGAGAAAAAAAATTTGTATTTTTTTCCTCAACGCGATAATTAACCCTTACGTGTTGACTAACACTGCATACATACTATATAACATTTATAGTAAAAATTTATATAGTCTTTGAGAAGATACTTAATTGTTAATTATCACCCATATCAGCTGTTCAATAATGCACTTTAAATAGTGAGTCATTCGATTGATAAACCTTGTTATCTTACACCCTATTCGTTACTATGCGCTACATAAAGCAACCAATAAAGGAACCAATTACCGTCTGTCTATCTATCTATCTATCTATATTTCTTTCTTTTAATTGCCATTGTATTTTAACTCCTTTGTTGGAAGTTACCTTGCCAATAGCAGGTAACTTCATTCGTTGGAAGCTAGCTGGCACAAGAAAAAATATGCACCTATGTCCGTAATGAGAAAAATCCTTGATGACGCTACCGTATGTCACTAGTTTAAGATATTCAATAGCGCCATCATCGATTTTTCCTGTTTATCCATGCGATCAGATTGTTTTAAAACAGACTTTTAATATTTTCTGGCCGTGTTCGAACTAACGTACACAAAGTAGTAGTAGCAATACCCGTTACCTTCCGGTGTAGGATGAGACAAAAAAAAATACACAAACAATTTGTACAGGCTGCCGGGGAAATATTTGTGGGTATGTCCACGCAGCTCCTCCCAGATTTACATCGACTTTTTTCTGGCAAGATTTACGCATGCTGGTCTTGTAGCCCTCGTCGAGTTATCTAGGAATTGATATTAATTTTGATTTGAATCATGTGCTAACTGCAATAGAACAGGCTCAAAAGTCGATTTTTTCGAAAAAATGGCCCCCGGAATCTGCCTATTTTATTCTTCATGAACGTTTCGAAATTTTGAGATCCTAACATATTAGGATCAAAATGAAGCTTACATTATGCTTATTCAAACGCAATATATCAGAGTTCTTCAAAGCTTCCTATACTCCAGATATATGGGTCTAAAGGGACCGAGGGTCTCAAAAAACTCTATATTGGGACCCAATTTTCTCAAAAACTAAACGTCAGAATTTCTTCAAATTTTTTTTCTGAACAGACCTAAGTGGACACACTACTAGTATTTAAAATATTAGACTTCCCATTTCAGGATTGTGGGAGATGAAGCTTGTCCAAGTTAGCCTAAATACAAGACCTAATAGTTGTTTTTTTAACAGATTTTATTGTTTAGGACTAGAGACTAACAACTGACTATACACTTTCTTTTATGCTGAATACAAAGTATGATATCTGCTATTTATAATTAAGTTTAAGAAGATTAAAATAATCAGACAAAATGGAGGTAAAACTCTCGATTTCTTATGAATTTCGAACGTTAGTTATGACTTATGTCAAAATGTTTTAATATAGATCTGGTAATTAAACAAAAAAGATTTTTTTTAGAATTCTTCATGCTTGTAGTATAGTTGTTAGATGGTTTTGTTTTACTCTTGGTTTTTTAGATAAGATTTATTCATGCCCACTTGTGCACATCCTACTGCGCACCCTCGCCATAAGCGAGGTGCAATTCTGTCATCAGTACCAGTAGGGAAAAGAAAAGTCACGGCTGAAAGGGCCTTATCAATCAACAAATACATTCGAAAACGTTATAAAGGAAAAGTATCTACACTCAAAGAAAACGATTTGCTATGTGAAACATGTTATGCTGCTGAACAACGGCGATGGTCGAACAAAAAATCTATCAAAGAAGGTTCATCGGATGAAGAATCAGACCCAAGTTTTCAAGCAACTGTGTCATCATTCCTGCTTTCTATTCATAAAAGAAGGCGAACATGGTCTCCAACACCTAGTAGTTAATTTGATACCGAAGCGATTGATTATTTACATAAAACGCCAGTGGCAATTTTCAAACAATCTGCGATTAATTCTGTCCGTTTGCTCAACGATTTTGATAGAATTTTTATTTCTTTTAACAGTTGTTGACTCTTTTCCTGTATTACATTCGTCAATCGACTAAATATAAACAATAATATCAATTAAAAATTATTAATTTTTTTTCATATGATAAATTTACGTGTCTTTCACGGGTGATACATTTAAAACTTTCAATAAACTATTGAACTTTTCTTTATCTGAATTAGCGTGAAAATTGTCTTTCGTTTCAACATCAGATGATGATGAAGTATCAGTAGATGAGAAGTTATGGACAGAATTAATCGCAGATTGTTGGAAAATTGCCACTGGCGTTTTATGTAAATAATCAATCGCTTCAGTATCAAATGAACTACTAGGTGTTGGAGACCATGTTCGCCTTCTTTTATGAATAGAAAGTTGTTTCTTTTTAGTATTCATTTTAGATAAAAGAACACTTCGTCTATTATTCTTTGAATTTTGCAGTGTAGTACGAGTGGGGTGGCTGTTTGTCTCTGTAAAAACATGTCAATCTCACCGGACTATTCTGCAAATTCATATGTCGTCGTTAGCTATAGATAATTAACTCTAGTGGTACGTAAAACCGCCCACTACCGCGATCGTTGCATCGGATAATAAAATGTAACAGCTACTATCCACAGTATTAGTAGCTGCAGCCGGCGATTCTTAGTACACTTCAGCTAGTTGGGCAGCGGGTATTGAATAGGTTATGAAGAACAGTTCGACTAGTTGTAGCGTACGATTCAGCGGCCGTTGCAGCTAGTTTCAACCAAAAGTAGCTGCAGCTAGCATTTACTGGGCGCTGCAGCTAGTTGGGCAGCGGGTATTGAATAGATTATGGAGAATAGCTTGACTAGTTGCAGCGCCCAATAAACCGCTAGCTACACCTACTTGCACACTGTTTTATACTGGGAAAATTTCTTACCCGCTGCAGGTAGCTTGAAGCGTGTTAACGGGTTTCACCCGCTGCAGCTAGCTACACCCGTTAATTTTTACTCTTTTAGTTGGCTGCTCTTGCTGGAGAAGCGGGCGTTCCACCAGCAAGAGCAACTAGTTAATTTCATATGAAATTTCATGCTTGGGTATCGCCACTACTAAAAAAAGAATTCAGATGTATGCGACTTTTCAGAACGGAGTTACGAATTTTTCTATTTTGCTATTTTTTGCACAAACGCTTTGTACCTTGTAACAATCTCGGTACCCTCTATCGATCTATCGATTGATGTATGAACGAATGAAATCGGAGTTTGGTATGTCTGCAGGATGCCTCGTCGGAAGACAGCCCATCTTATTTTCCGTTTCAATATAGAAATCACGACATTTAACACATTTAATCTGTTCTTTTGATTTACGACGTTCATCCTCTTCCTCCGTCTGTTGTTCTTCGGTTGAAGTAAACTCAACATCAACTATTTCATGAAAGAAGGAGAAAACTCATAAAAATTTCTTTTCAGATATATCAGGATTCCATAAGTTGCTAAGAATGAGAGTTTATTGGAGCCAAGACAGAAACATATTTACAGCGATTGTTGATAGTACAGTGAGAACGAATGAGTTCTATAGGCTCTTCTTAATATTCATTTCGCTAATACTTCAAGTACAGTTATATAACTGTCTTTTTTAAGAAAAAAGTAAAAACCAAAAACTACAGAAAAAATAATATAGCATCAAGTGCCTTGTTGTCTTTGTTTTAACAGCTGTGTTCGTAGTTCGTTGTATTCTTGATTATTCAGACATTCCAATTCCCATTTTTTAACCGTCTCTTCATCTAACACTTTTCCCGTCCCTTTCTTTCGTTTCCCTTCACTACCTTCCAAACCATGTTTTCCTTTCTTACAGCCACCAGCTGTTGTACCTGCTTGCACCGTCGTATTACAGCAAATATATTTGAAACGTGTTTTTTTCCGTTCAACCTCATCTTTCTGCGTAGTTTCTGTCGAATCCGCTGTCATCACTTTGAATTCATCATGATTGAGTTCTTCGATAGCTTCGTTCTGTCGATATTGTTTCAGCTCATAAGAAGAATTATCGTAAACAAACCCATCGTGATATGTACACGAGCCCATCTTATTCTCCGTTTCAATATAGAAATCACGACATTTAACACATTTAATCTGTTCTTTTGATTTACGACGTTCATCCTCTTCCTCCTTCTGTTGTTCTTCGGTTGAAGTAAACTCAACATCTACTGCGAATTTTTTCAATAGAAATGGATCACGTACAACTGCTATAGCCCAACGTTCAATTTTCAAACGTTTATCCGCATTATTCACTTCAATTTTAGCTTCACGAAAACGACTCGTAACATAGATATAGATACTTTGATTAACGACAGAGGAACTCGTCGATGTACCCATTGATGATTCAGACTCAGATTTATTAACACCGATCAGTGAATCAAGATCGTAGACGATCATTGAACGTTTATATTCCATACATTCATCATAACGTTCTTTTAGAGTTTCAAATACTTTTTTTTCATCATAAGCACCTTTAGACGACAGCAGGTTCAAATCAATGAGTTGTAATAATTGTACATTACGATCATTTCCATACGATGTTATGCGTTCAAGCAGTTGCTGCAGATTCTGTTCTGTTTCACGCAGTTGATCTTCATATACATATTTTTTATGGTGTCCTTTTCTACTAGTTTCTATTGTCTCGATTCGAACACATTTCTCTTGAAGACTGATAATAATTTTACCGGTAAATAGAGAATTTTCTTGTAAATGAAAACCTTCTGCTGGATCACTCACGGACAATATTTTCGTTGTTCTTTGTTGTGGTTGTGGTTGTGCTTGTTGTAATAGTCGAAGATCTTGAAGATTACGTAAGAGTAGACGAGGGAGAGTATCGAGACCGAGAAATAATTGAAACTGACGAGCTGTTCGATCAGCTAAGATTAATGCATCTTCTTTATTAATATCATAGTCCGGTTTTGAACGTCGCTGAGAAATGTAATGGACTGTAATAGCACCATTCAGAGCCCTAAGAAAAACGATAGATAACTGTATAAATTGTTTTTTTTTTAAGGACTGTATAGTAAGCTAACAGACAGTGAAGAACCATATCCCAATCGCGATATATATCCCGATCGAGCTATATATTCCAACTGGGATATAAAAATGTATCCTGATCAGGATATTGTGGCCCAATCGGGGTATATTTTTTCGATATTCCGATAGGGTTATAAGAATATAGCCAGGTCGGAATATCTACTTTTTTGTATATCCTAATCGGGATGTAGTTTTCTTACAGTAGAGCCGTAGTTTAAAATCGCCAAAAACTAATTAATGTGGCACTTCTAGTGCAAAGGTGATATAGAACACAACATATCAGCCGCCAGAACTTGAGTGATGAAAACGCTTCGGCATTCTTAAAACTTTAAACTTTTGAACGCAATTTACGCATCTGAAAATCTTTTTTGTAAACACACCGTGATTCCTCGTCGCTGCGCGTACGATGAATCATGCTAGACGAGACTGACTTTAACTGAATATTTCACTGGATGTAGCTATCTTACGTATGTTCAGAGTAACAGAAAATATCATGATATTTCGAGAAAGTGTTGAAAATAGCAAATAAAAAAAGTAGAATATCCTGATCGAGATATAGAATGTGAACCTCAGGAGTTATTTAAAAAAAGGTTGCTGACCGGAAAAAAGACTTGGCCACAAGGAAAAAGAATCTGATACAGTTTTTTACGTCCTTTTCGGCGGTATGGTCAAAGATTTCCGCGAACATCATCATTTTTTCGCTAATGAATGTTATTTAAAAATATCGAATTTATATCCCGATCAGGATATAGAGCATGGGACTCTACTGACAGAGTATTCCAGAGGTGAGTGAGTAGAGTGATTTTCACCTCAAAAAGGATTTTTTAATGTCAAAACGTTTAAAAAACAAGCAATAAACTCATTTCTTTTTGCAATAAAACAGCCACATTTTTTACTTTCGACTTTTCGTCGATAACTGCGAATGTCAGCGAATATCCCTTTACTTACTTCAGGGCAGCTCCACTAAAATTTGTTGTTGCTGTTGCTAATTTCTCTCTAACGTCTGGTTGTAATATAATTTTTGGTATTTCACTCAGAATACGTTTACGTGCTTCAGATGATGGTCGCCCAACGAAAAATTTCCCTGACATCCGTCTTAAAAACGCTTCATCCATCATATGTAGACGATTTGTTGCCGAGAAAAACATTAAATTTGGTACATCTTTTATACCTTCAATTACCGACAGTAAAACACTGATCTTGGCTACTTTTCCTTCGCTAGAGTCTTCATCGCGTTTCGGTGCCAGTGAATCAATTTCATCGATGGAAACACAACACATCAAATGTGGTAGACGGTTACCACGCATACACAGATCAAGGATAACAGCTTCAGATTGGCCGACTAACGGACGTTCAAGTTCACCAGCGGCCAAAGGTGGACCGAGCATCGCAATACCAATTTTCTTTGCTAATTTACTCATTATAGCTGATTTGCCTGTGCCTACAAAAAAATGAGGCAGTTAGAAAATCGACGGGTGTTAAGCTTTCGAGATTAGAAAACCTAACATACCTGGCGGCCCGTACATTATAAATCCTCTATGCGCTTTGACTAATTTTTTATCAATTTTTGTTTGATCTGCACGTAAGCTGTTGTCAATGATTTTCAATAGATTTTCTTTATCAACTTTTTTCGCTTCGAGTTTTTTCAGTTCCCTTTCTTTTTCCGTAATTTTAGTCTGAAACTTATTAATTTCCACCGTAAATTCATCATTTTTATCTGACCACGATTTATCTAATTTCGTTTTTGTTTGATACGATTGATTTTCCGGTTTTTCCATTTCTTTTTTATTCAGTTCAAATTCTCCACGACGCTTCTCTTTAAGTTCATCAACTTTATCACCTAATTCTTTAAGTTCATTAGTAATTGCTTCAATCTTTTCGCGTAATTGTTTTATTCTGTCGTCCAAGGCTTTTTTTCTCTTGTGTTGTTCCTTATTAAGTTTTTCAAGTTGATCCTTATTAATTTTTAATTCCTCATCCGTTACGGTTAAAGGTTGAAAGAATAATTCCATTTCATCGAAGAGACCATCATCTTCATAGCCTTCAGCACGCATTTCTTTAAATGCTTCTTCAACACAGTATTTCTCAAGTTGTGGGATCTGTTCAATACCCTTTTTATTCTCTAACTGCCGAATGAAATACAGTTTAATCATATGTAAATTAGCACGTAACTCTGATTTGGAATAGGAAGATTTATCAACTAAAAAAGACCCAGAAAAATACCGCTGGCAACAATTTCTAGTGAATAGAGAAAAGGACTGATTTTTATAAGGTCACATTCACAATCCAGTGTTGTGATAAAAAATTGCGTTGCGTTATCCGCAAAAGAACATGAAATCGCGAGCCAAAGTCGCTATATTTTTCAAAATTTTCGGTATTTTTAAAGCGCTTATTAGTACCTAAAAGTGGACGGGAGGTCACAGGTTAAAAAATGTTTCGATAAAAAGCTTACTTTGATCTTCTCCTTGTTTGTCATCCTTGATCTTTACTTTTCGATTTTCTGCCGTTTGCTTTTCCCGATCGACGTAAGATTTAATCGTCTTCAATGCGTTCATTGGCAGTTCACCGATTCGATCCCATTCTTTTTGATTTAAATTAGCCAAGTGTGCATACGTTGTTATACTCTCGTCCAGCGTTAGTGCATCCAACCACTCCTCGTACATTCCATTATCTTCCAGTTCACATATATCACGCACGAAATTTTCCAATGATTTTGTACTCGGACGTTCATTCCGTCTAGACGTATTATCATCATCGTTACCGACGGTAAATTGATCGGCAATTACATAATTAATCAAGGTATCTTTACCTAATTTCCATCTAGCCGGGAAATGTTCTTTCTTTAAATAGTCAGGTGTTAGCCATAAATCAAAGATCTGATGAAAATGATCAAATGTCCACGAATCAAATTCATCACTTTGACTCACCGGTTCTACTAAGCGAAATCTTGTCCGTGGACGATTAAATGTTATAATACCACGTTCATTCATCTGAGTTCGAATAAATAAATCTAACAGTGAAGCTTCCGGCAGTCTGTGTACTGCACCATCCTGACAAGGCGCAGACGTAGTAGGCAGAGTATTTGAGTTTGTAGTTTCTTGCGTGCTAAAATAACAGAAAGAGCAATCTATTCAGTGTAGGAGAACTTGCACCCAAGGTGTGAATAATATCACGTTTCCTAAAGTGAACTCGGCTTTCCTGGTGATACTTTTACCTTTTCTCTTGGTATACCCCCCCCCCATAACAGAAGCCTCCCCCATATTAGAAGCCCTCCCCCTGGAGTAATCGATGTGGAAGGTGTATTGGAAGCGCAAGAGCTTCTATTACGTCGGAAAAATAATTTAAATTTTTTGAACGACACATTTGATCGACACGCGTTTTTTTACTTTAATTGTTCTTGTGTGATGTCGTGTGTAAAAAAAGGAAACGAATAAAATTTACAT